TTTTTTTTTTTTTTTTTTTTTTTTCCCTAATGGGCGATGGCCTTTTGATACCATCTTCCAACTGACGGGCCCAGATAAATTCAGAGTTTTTTTTCAGTCATCCGATTCCATTGGGGTTCGAACTCAGGTCTTTGTTTCGACAGTTCGTGGTAACTTTTGAGTACCAAGTTACCAACTTTTGAGTACCAACTGCGCTAGGCCCATTTGGTAACTTGGTACTCAAAAGTTGTTGCTGTTGTGAGTTTCCTCACAAAAATATCGCCGTGTCCTTGTAAGGCCCTGCAGTCTACGAGAATCGGAGAAGCCCGACTGCAGACTCTCATTTTGTGCCTGAGACTCTGAGAGTCCATTTCATTTAAATTTTAAACCCTAAACCTAAATAGATGATGCAATGATAACTTAGTTTTTTGAATGTTTTTCTCAATTCTGAAGAGCATTGGGGTGGGTTACCTTTTTTCTCAATTCTGTTTTTCTTTTTCTCAATTCTGAAGAGAATTGGGGTGGGTTACCTGGCCTACTACTGTCTTCACCCTAATAGAACGCCCGGTCATTATAGCTGCATTTGGCCCAACTTTCCGTCCAGATGCAGCGATAATGACTGGGCGCTCTATTCGGGTGAAGACGGTAGCTCAGTTGGTACACCCATGAACTGTTGAAATACAGACTCAGAGTTGGAATCGCACAGAACTGAGATGAGTAAATACTAAATAGTAAATGATAAACGTGAACTGGAATTTACCTCGCGCTGGTCAGTTCGCAGATGACGATGACGTGGGTTGGTTACCCTTTGGTGGCTGTGCATTTCTCTTCCTTCTTCTTCTTCTTCTTCTTCTTCCTTTCCCCTCTGTGCATTTCTCTTCCTTCTTCTTCTTCCCTTCCCCTCAGTGCATTTCTCTCTCTCTTTTTTTTTCCCCCTTCCCTTCCCCTCTCGTTTTGTTCATCGTTCGTCTGTCTGTGCCTATGCTGTCTTGCACTGTGGTGCAGATTGTCTGGATGCGAGTGGCAAGGTCTGTTCCTGCAATTCAACCTGTAAGTGCTTCTCCGCCTCGCTACTCTGAAGAGCTGACAGCCGCTCCTAAAAAAGGACAGCAGCTCCACATTTTCCTCATTTCCGTCTGTCTAGGCTAAAGGACCCCGGACCGGCATTCATTGCTCCTTCTTGAGTGAGGATGGAAACTATCTAAACGTGCAAACAATCATTAAAAAAAAAAAAAAAAAAAAAAAAAAAAAAAAAAATGAATCTTCTGCTAGAACATGGAAATATACAATCCTACCTATGTGTGTAGGTGTGGGTGTGCGCCTTTGGGGCCGATCACTCAATCAATCAATCAACGGAAAAAAAAAAAAAAAAAAAAAAAAAAAAAAAAAAAAAAAAAAGCCAACTGGGTCTTAATTTCTCTTGAACCACCAGTACATGGGCCCAGCCAAGTGAGGAAGACAAAATGAGCCTCGGCTAAAAGTTAGGTAGGGGGACTCGCCCCACGGCGGGCCTGGGGGGTGCGGGCAGGGAATTGTTTTGTTCCATGGCGCAGGGTGGGCACTGGCGCCGCGTGGGACAGACAAAAAGTATTCCCGCCCGGCCTCAGGCCCACTGTGGGGTAAGGAGAGAGGCTCAGTGGACTTCGTCATACGTATATTACAGTATTATTACTATATTTTGTTTTGGTGGCTTAAGACTGATAATCCCAAACCCCCAAAATCAACAAGAGATGGAAAATGATTTTTATTTTTTTTAATTTTTAAGTCTCAACAAGTTCTCGACCCTCGCCTCAATTACCCGAACCCACAGAAATTCCGCACTCTGCAGTGGCTGACAGTCTGCGCTTCTCTGTCGGTCATTCATTCAGTGGCTTCACAAAAGTTAGCGAAAAACAAAGCCACACATATCATATTTATATGCTTACAAATTACAATGAATCAATTATTAATTCGTCATGGTGGAGATACTTGAAACGGTATTCACCAATTCGTGGTAGCTGATGCAGGTCCCAGGGCTCGATCCCTGGTTCCCCAACTTACCTGTGTACAATACCTGCGTCAACTCGAAGAGTTGAACCCGCGACCTGTAGAACCGCCAGTGGTAGGTAGGTCTGTTGTAGGTCTATAGGTAGCCAGGATTCGATCCGTAGCCCTGTAGATTAGAAGGCTAGCTGCAGTCCTTCTAGAAGGTTGGAAAGTGGTCAAGTGGTGCAGGCAAGTGGGCAAGTGGTGTGACTAAAGCAAGCCCATGTTGGAGACAAGGACAAGTGGCAAGGTCAAATAGTAGGACCCCAGTGCAACTGCACTGCRTCGTAGGGTCGTCGTCATACAGTCAAGGGAGAGTCTAGAAAGTACCAGTCCGGTCCAGCAAGTACCRCGGGGGGGACTGTGTGCACCATGGGCCAGGGACACAGGGCAGACCAATGCAGCGCAGAAGTATAAATCAAGAGGCTGCGTCCAGCCATGGATCATTTTCCTGCGGATGCCATGCGGAAGCGCTGCCTTMGCAGCTTGTGCGAGGAGGTCTGCAGTGTGCCCGAAGACGAAGTGGGCAGAGAAGTGTAGTGTAGCGATAGGTAGTGGCAGCTAGCGCTGCCATAGCTGTAGCATAGCGTGTGTGTGTGTGTTGCGTATGATACTGAGTGTTGCGTGTGGGACATCCAGGGTGATCCAGAGTGCGAACAGTGAGTTGTGTGGGCGCCCAGTCGCCATAGCCAGTTGAAGAGAACTCATATCTGGTTACGATATCTTAAGTACTGTGAGGGCGCATGTCGCCAGTTGCTGTATCGCTGTTTGCATGCAAGACAAGTGTGAATAATCGGAGTGTGAATGCATACTAGAGAATCAAAACGAGGTACGCAATGTACTTGAGCTTTAAATTTTAAAAGTCAATGTCCTCAACAGCACAGGGAGTATGACTTTGTGTTTCTACAAGAACCCCCCAAAAAAACCCAACTCAGAGAGGAAACTCTCACTAGGACCTTTTTTTAGTCAGTTCTGGATGGAAATGCAGCCAGATATATCCAGGTCTGGCCATAATTACGGTCAGATACATTCGAGAGAGTCGTAGTGTGAGTACACCCTCGGAGGAAACTCTCAGAGCCCCTAAGCGGAATCCAATATCTGTGCGATTGCGATGTGCGCTAATAACATAACATCCCTGAAGACGTAATCCGCTGCCTCAGCCTCTGCTAACATCCACCCAAGCGACTTGGAACTGGGGATCTGGGACAAGGTCAAAGATTTATGGTCCCGCGGGCCACCCACCCTGTTCCCCTCCCCCCCCCCCTGTCCCACTATGTTACATGCCCAGTTGGGCAATGTATGTAAAGCCAAGGATCCGCAGTGTGATAAAAAGGAGTGAATGGACAATGCGATGCTAGGGGAATCTCGACAAGCAATGTACATCCTGATACATACAAAATGGCACCTTGTAGTGCAGTGGAAGACTTAGATATAAGCCCTGACCTGTCCGGGACTGACCTCTCTCACGTAGTACAAGACAGCGCAGCGGAATGCTAGAATACCAATGACTAGCCCAATCAATGTCGCAATGCAGACCAAACATACATCATCCTCATCACAAGGTGTGAAGGGGCCTGGCGCTACACACAGGAAGAATGCGCCAGGTCCAGACCATACACAGACAAAGAGGAGGGGATCAGACAAAGAAGAGGGAGAATGCGCCAGGTCCAGACCATACACAGACAAAGAGGAGGGGATCAGACAAAGAAGAGGGGGAAGATGGGAATGTCGTCAACACCAAGTCTTCGGTACAAGTCCCGGATAATCCCTCGTCAAATGCCTGAAGCCCAATGTCGAGTCTGGACCAAATGTCACCAATCCCGCTCTCTCGTAGTCTGCTGATGCAGTGA